AAAAGTATGAAATGTTTTCATTGTTCAGCCTGACAACAGAAACCTGACACCCTGCAGGGTTCCCATCAGCCACTCAGTTTCAATTATGTTTACAGCAATACATTCTATTATCTAATACTTTACTGACACAGTATTATAAAGAGCCTTGGGTCAGGTGACTAAAACATCTTCCTGATAGATTCAAAAGTCTAATGCTAACGTGCAATTATGCTAACAGCTGTGACGGGGAACTGAAAAAACATGTAGTGAAAGTTGTAAATTTAACATGTCTACTGTATGTTATAAGAAAGTCTTGCCATTGAGCAGAAATCCTGAAAAGACACTTATTTGGACATCTGTTTTAAAGCATTATCTAAAATAACTTTAACTTGATCTTGGTCATGAAAATCTAAACACTTTGTGTGCAGAATTACCAGTCAAATCTAATTTCTACTGGGCATTATTCTTCTACCACCAGTGTTGCTCTTTCAGAAAAGTCATGTATAATTGAGCACCATGCCTGTCTCTTAAAATGTCTCTGTTTATAGTAATATATTGGGTTTAGCTAGATTCCCATCAGAAAAACTAGACTGAAGTGAAACTCCAACTTTAGGGCCCTCCCATTAAAAACACAGCAGAGTCTAAAATTACCTTAATGGGCTTGCATGGTGCAGGGCTGGAAAAACTGGTAATACTGATCCAAGCTAAGACGCATCCACATTATCAAACTACACATTTAATAACCTCTATCTATTTTTAAAAAAAGGTGTGTCAGGACATGAGTTCACTTCCCTGTTGAGTTCCTGGAGATGCTTTTAAATGATCCTCTTCTAAGACAAACAGGCTTTTATCTGAAAAGACTAATGAGGCAACAGAGCAGGATTCCTGCATTTATGTTCGTGCTCGAGATTCTCGAGTTACAAGTCGGTCTTTGATCCTTTAGACTCAGTCTGAAGTCATGACTTTATGACATTTTGTCAGCTCGAATGGTTTAACACATTCAAGCAAATGAAGACACACTCGCACTCCTTGTGAGGTGTTGGAGTTGTGTGATTTATAATCCTGAACCGTGCACATGGACGGGCATGTGTTATTATTGAAAACCTGATTATAAAGCTTTTACCTTTGCTTTCTATGAAAACAGACAACAGAAGAAGATCAGACGCTTGACGACGCTGCCCCACTGATCTGCCAGACGAATCGTTTTGAACTCTGTCGGCTGCTGTAAGGCAGCAGGGGTTTTTATTTTTCATACCGCAGCCTGTTGGGCGTGTTTGATTTATAACACAGCCCCACCTGAAAGTAGTGGCATGTGTTCAATACGCATGTTTTCAATACATACATTTGTTTTAATGCATACAAGCTTCTGCATGTTTGTGCACCCCTCTTTGTGTTTGATTTATAACCCAGTCCCTCCTAGCTGTGTTTTCACATGGATCCAAAAACACCTTACTCCTGTCACTGTGTGGAAAGAATTAATAAAACACACACATTCTTAAACGCAGATCTTCAGGACTTGTCTGGCTTCACTAACTCCTCTCTGACATTATAACACATTACAAGAGGGAAATGCCTCATTCCTGTTATCATAGTCATGAACATTTACATAAGCAGATCTTTTAGTACTCACGTAACCTGGAAGGTCCATTTCAGTCCCTCAGTGTCAGTTGATAATAGCAATTATCTGCAATAGTTTGCCAGGACTTCACTGTAGACAATGGGAAAGGTGTGCACTGTTAATAAACCGAAGTGAATTTAATTAGTGTAGTCCTATAAAAATCTTTCTAAACACACATCTTGCCACTTGATAGGCGTCTTTGAAATACTTACTTAGTAGTATTTGTATTTTATTTTGTTTTTTACAAATTAGACTACTACAGCTGTGTCTTTGGGGGCGGAGCCAGGGTCATTATTGTCTACTATTAAACCAAAATAAAGTATTGCTGTGCTGAGTGTTATCATGCATTCAAATTGTGCAACTTTTGGAGGAATGCATGGTGATCATGGGAGCTCTAGATGTTATTGTTGCCATCAGTGTGTTTCAGTATCTTATGTTGTAAAAATCATATAAATCTTTTAAACTGATGAATCTGAGAGGAAGACCATTTTAAAGAGATTTATGATGCTTCTGTTTTCTGTTATTTTTGTCTCCCCCAATGTTAAGTGCAAATGTAACTTATGTTTCTGTATTTCTAAGTCCTCCTTTTAATTTGTTTGTCTCTATGTTTGATTTTTTACATTTTCTTCCATTTCCTCCCTTTTAATATGTTCGTTTTATGTGTCGTAACTTAATTAATTAAGCATAATGTCACTGGCTGACTCCCACCTCCCTCTCCTGCCTGTCTGATTTCCTTTTTATCATCTTTAACTTTTTTTTGTGTGTGTTTTTCTGCTTTAACGTCTGTCCTCCTTAAATTCTCCAACTCTCACTGTTTGTTCAACCCTTTCTTCCCCAGAGAGTCACTTGATCAGAAAAAATAAAGTTGTCTAAATTCTGATTGTATATCTTTCTATAGATACTTTCAGGAGAACTGATGTCTCCTTGAAGATACAAAATCAATCTAAAATAAATAAATACATTATTAGTATTGAGTGTTTCTTGGATGAGCAGGTTCAGTGTTGAGGTGTTTTTGAAACATCAAGTCAAATTTAATAATTGAACATTTCTTATACTGAGGAAGTTGGTGCACTTCGAATGGAAATTTAAAAAAAGAAAAAGGAGTTATGGTTTGTATTAAATGTAATTTGATTTCACTTTAAGTGGTTGTCACAAGCTGTTTGCACAGACTAGGTTTTCTGGCTCAAAGGCACTTTGGCAAAAAAAAAAAAAAAACAAGGGAGTCGAGAGGGAGTTGAACCTGTGACCTCTGTTACAATCTGGTCTGTCTGACACTGTACGGCCCCGGTGGGAGAAAAACATGTGGGAAAGTGTTTTAAAATAGTCTGGGTATGAAAATGTGGTTTTGAATGTGGATTTCGCTCATGTTGTTACAAAGATGTTTCTGGGTGGATGAGGTGTTTGTTTTAGCGGTGGTGTGACCCGGGAACCGACAGCCCAGTGGCTGCATGTTTGAACAATATAATGGTGATTAGTTGGTCTGAACAGAGTAAGAGACACCAGATATTTCCCATAAATCATTCGGATTTGGTCCGATGTGAAATTAAGCTGTTATCAGATGGGAAGCTTTTGTAAAATCGGACCTGGAAAGAGTCACCAACCACCTCACACCATCTTGTTTCCCGGACTGTTTTTATCCGAAGTAGGGTTTAAGGACAGTTTGTTCAACATTTTCATCAAAGTTGTTATCCACACATCTATAAATCAGGCATGTGTTTATCTTCGATGTCTTTTCTTTATTGTTTTAGAGAGCTTTGGTGCTGCTTCACTTCTAGGTAAAGAGTAAAATTACATGGCTCCTTACTGGGAAAATTTAGTTATTTCCTCCAGAAGTCCAGCGGTCTGTACCTATAAAAGAAAAATATGTTTAAGATGTGCTTTACACTTAATGGTCTGTGGCTGTCTCTGTATGTTTTTATATATAAACCTCTGCAGTCTATATAAACCTCTCCTCAGGGTGGGTTCCTCTTAGCCAGGTACATACAATGGCCTTCACTCTCCAGAGTCAGCACACAGTTAATGCTAGAGTCACACCACTGCTTGAAGACTTCTGCACAACCAAAGTTATGGAAAGGTCTGCGACCACATCTTTAAAGATACTTTGGTGTTTCAAGGTGGTGATAAACTGTGATAAGACAGCATCAGTCTGCTATCACGTTGTGACTACATGTGGTCAAGTTGGCAGTTACGTCCAATCTGTTTGTGATGATATTGTGATTAACTGGGAAAAATGACAAACCTGTTGCTGTCCACACACACAGAAATTTGCTCTGAATGATCACATTCGGATTCCAGCCACTTTTTAAGGCAGAAATCTAAACATTCTGCCATAAATATACTGATGTTGCTTTTGCAAGAAGTCATGGATTTAACCGCACCCTTTGTTGAAACCTGTGTTCAGCAACCTATAGGACGTTGGAGGTCGATTGAGTCCCATATAGTAAAGAGACACACTGCAGATAAGCTGCGCTCTATGGTGCAGAAAAACACGTATAGATTGAAAAAAATCTTTGCACTGATTGCTGGCAATGTTAAAATTATATTAATTTTAAAAAATCAGTGAATAAAAAGTCTGTAGAAACAATACTCAACTTGAGAAAAATGATGAGACAC